ACATACGACCTTTCTGTGAATCCCTACCACAACCATCTGGTGACAACTCCAATCATCTCACTGATCAACAAATTCCTGAATCCTCTGAAACTGTGAACGATTGAGACGCTGACAACTAAGACACTGAGGGAGCCTTGGAGCGTCTGGATAGGATCAGACTTTGACTCTTGTTGCTTTGAAAGAATTTGAGACTATGGTTGGGTGTTTAGTTTTGATAATAGGTATATGGGTCTATCAGGATGGTTAAGAAGTTTGTTAAAGACTATTGTATATGCTTTAGCTGGTTTTATTCTTTTACTGCCTTTTTCTTCCCTGTCTGTTGCAATGCTTGCAGAAGGTTCTTTTTGGGCAACAGGAAGGGGGAGATGTAGGACAGGGCCTGGGGAGCAGGACCCTGAATGCTGCTCAAGTCATGACCATAAAAGGGGGAAACAAGGACAGGAAAAACAGGTATTTCAACCCTGAGAAAAGCAAGTTCCAGGAGGCACCCTGCTGAGAAAGCCATCTGGGGCTCTGCCTGAAAGGCAAGAGGTGTTTGTTAGTGTAATGGTGCATCACTGACCAATCAAATGCAGCCGCGTGCAAATGAACCAATCAGTTTAAAATATGCAGCCCATGTAAACGTATATAAGGAAGTCACTGCACACAATAAACCGACATTTTGCTTGCATCAAGCTGCGTCCTGTCTCTCAATTGCTGCATTGAGGAAAACCGTGATTTTGTAAGTACTACACCACTATTTCATGGGAATACAGTTTATAAGACATTTTTAGTTTGTGGCCGATCCTGGTATGCAGGTTGCCATAGTGCTTAAGGTCTTGAGATTAACAGGCGCAGAGGCTGGCGGGAGGGAAAGCCAGGGGAGATGATTCAGGTAACAGGCGCAGAGGCTGGCGGGAGTGAAAGCCAGGGCAGATGATCCAGGCTGAACAATCAGCAATTCCTCCATACCATAAACTTCACATTCACAATAAATTGGGGAGTTTGCTGGGGATGGCCCTCCTCTCTTCCCAACACCTTCTTCTTCCCTCTCCTGTGGCTGACAGCTCAAGAGGAACTTGTTTATGATCCTACCCCTGAGGCCTACATTATTGGCTGAGTATAATTCTGTGTATTTTATATTGTTATTAATTGTTGTTGTTGTTGCTCTTTTATTAAATATACTTCTATTTAAACCCACAAATCTCCTTTCCTTTTCCTGATCCCCATCCCTGGGAGCAGAGGAGGCATCAGGTGATAAAGCAACTGTATAAACCATGACACATAGAATACCAAAGCTACGTACTGTGATTTCGTAGTAGAAAGCTTTAATGTGATTTCATACTGACTTTAAATTTGTAAAAATACCTGGTCTTTTTCCTGAAAAAAAAACCAAAACAACAAAAAAACCTTTTCCACTGTATGGTACTTGCCATGGTAAGATGCCAAATATTGACTGGGGAAGTTATGTACAAAAGTAACAGAGCTGAACTGCACAACTAGCCTTTTGAAGGTTTTATCAATTTGGCAGGCTAGTGTGAAGAAAAATGTTTCCCATCAAGTGGGCTGTCAAAGCTTCCATGACTGTTTTATAACTTCACTTAATAAGAAAAATGCACTTACTGGCTTTTCAAGTACAATTGGATGATCAGGAAGAAACTCTGGCTTCTTCTGCGAGAGAGAAACACTTGAAAGTTTCAGTAGGAAATCTCTGCTGTATTTGATCCTTTCTGTGAATATAAAAATTATGTTCAATGCTGTTGTTTAAGGCATTAAGGTTGGTAATTCAGAGAACTGGTTTCTTATAGAAGGGTGGAAATGCTGCATGTGGAATATAAAAATCAGTATTAAAAACAGCAGTAATATAAATCTGACCTTCCATAAGGACAAATTGTGGTAAGTTACAGTTGCTTTGACTCTATCAAACTAACTTAGTAAATATTGAGGACTAGTCCAAGCTAATAAAGGTTTGTTGTTTTAATACAAAAGAACACAAAAAGGTGAATTCAACTTTATGCTATAGATTCCCCGTATCTTTCTAATTAACAGAAATATGACAAATTGGTCTTGAAACCCTAGAAGATCTCTTTATAACTCACACCAAAGTGGCACACGTTTCTATGGGACAGATAACAAAAACCGAGTGACTCCCCTCTTGGAACACATAAAAGGAATTATGAGATCTGCTGCATGTGAACTGGCAAACAGATTAATACCAATTAAATAGTTTTGAGGGATTTACATTGAATAACAAGAGTCAGGGGCTTTGCTTGGAACATGCAGGTTATCATTCAAGTTTGGACCAGTATCTCTTCTCTAGCATAGCCTAAGACACAGTATATCTACCTACGTCCATATTTTAAGCTGATATTCTTAAACAAGAGCAGAAACAAGAGGAAAGGAATTAGGCAAAAAAGGGATAAATTTTATCTCTGGTCCTTGGTGACAAAGAATTTTGTTCCTTTAGAAATAATGGGCATCCTGTAAGACTGTTATATGTGTAACATATTTGATTGACTACAGTTTTTGCTCCTCAGGCTGCAGGCTGTTGACGAGGCACCACAAAGTCAACTATAAATGGGATTTTTTCCTGCCTTTGACCACAAGTGATTGTAGTAGCTGCTCAACCTATGTGAGGGCATGAGGATAACTTTACAAACATGTTTAAAGAATTTAAAAAAGTTTTTTTAAGAAATTAAAAACACCTTTTCAAAAGAATTTTAACATGTCTTTTCACGTTTAAAGAACATGAGCATACTTGAAAACTTACGGCTTGGTTTTTTCCCCACTGTTTAAAAACATATGAAGAAGACAAATTCTCTAAGGCTTTGACACTGTCCTCCACAACATCCTTCTCTCTAAGATATGGAGAGATATGAAATCCATGGCTGGACTGTTCAGTGGATGAGGAATTGGTGGGATGGCCACATCCAGAGGGTAGAAGTCAACAGTTCAGTGTTCAGAGGGAGATCAGTAATGAGTGGTGTCATCCCTCAGGGGTCCATATCAGGACAAGTATTTAAAAAAATATCTTCATCAATGACATAAACAGTGGGATTGAGTGCACCCTCAGCAAGTTTGCAGATGACACAAAGCTGAGTGGTATGGTTGGCATGCCTGAGGGACAGGATGCCATCCAGAGGGACCTGGACAAGCTGGAGAAGTAGGCCCAGGTGAACCCCATGAGGTTCAACAAGGCCAAGTGCAAAGTCCTGCACCTGGGTCAGGGCAGACCCCAGTTATCAATACAGATGGGTACAGAATGGTACAGAAGGAAGCCAAACTCTCAAAGCACTGGCTAATCAGAAAAAAATAACCTGCAGTCCAAATCTCTTCAAAGTTCAACTGTCTTCCATTCAGAAAATACAATTCTGACACAGATCTCCATGCAATATTTTACCTTTTTTTGCTTCTGATTCATGCTGTTTTGGCTGGCAGGACATCATAGTTTGAGTTAAGATCTTCACTTCAGTCATTTCAGGTAACTATAATAGGGGGAAAAGAGTTAAAATTTTTTTGAACATTTTCACAAAATTAAGTTATGAAGCTTGTTTCCTTTAAACATCTTTTAAAAAGGATGTAGGTTTCTGGGTTTCTCAGTTAAAAGTAACAGTTGTAGCATAGCTTCAGTAATCAATTTTGCTTTCACCAGTCACCAAGATTTTGGACAATTAATACTTTCTGTGCATGAAGAAAACTGGATTCTGCTCATTATTTCTACTCCTTGCAATTGAATCACTGTCTTCTTTACAGTATAAGAACAGTCTGAAAATAAACAGTCTTGTACAAATGAACCCATAGTCAAAGCTGTAGCTGTTTATAACAGTTGATGCATCTCTAACTTGAAAGGTGAAGGATCTGCAAGATAACTGCACAAAACTGTAAATAGGAATATTGGTAATGTAAAAAGCCTGAGAAGTTTAATTTGAACTAACAGAGTGCTTGTTACTCGTGATTACATACCATACAGGAATAGTTTAATGACCTACAAAGCAGTATAAGTAAGCACATTTGAGACAGCCGTCTTTTAAGACAGAATTTTACAGTGCTATTGTGAGTTTTTAATAAGAACACAATTACCTCCTCCTTTTCTCTTATTTCACCCACAACACACCCAGAAGCTGCTACACTGGGGAATAATAAAAGCAGGTCCTTAAGACCGAAAGAAAGACTTGGATTCTGTCACTTTATCAAAAAGTTTCAGAACCATCAAGACCTAACACCTACAGCATAATGCTGAGTTCCTTCCAGCTGCCAAAACCTTGAAGCGACTGTTTTGGATAACTGGAAACCAGTTTACCCTCAACAGTTTGTCTTGACTCCCAAAAGACTTCACAGGTTTGGCTAAGGAATTTTAATCACTCATTCTGAGACAGATTTTGAGAGATGAGGGAAAGGGAGCAGGAATAACTGAAAATTTTGGGAAGCAATTGTCAAAAGCAGAAGAGATTCTGTTTTCTGGACTGAGACAGCAGTTAACACTTTGTACTGTAACTGCACGACCAGATACCATGGTGCGCTAACACCAAAAATTGTGAAATGGCGAAGTATTTCTAGCATGTTATCCACCCTGCCTGCACTTCCATTTTCTGTGGTTGAAATTTAGTTACCTTTTCCTGATTTGTCTACGACTTCTGGGGGGAAAAAAAAAAAGCTGAAAAAGCTAGGGATTTACAAGGAGCCATACTGCTCATTCTGATTGTTTTGTGGTGTTCAACTAGTCTTCACGAGTCTTAGCTATTCAAAAGCTCTTTCCAAGTACAAACAAGGATTTAACACATTCTCAAATCCACAAGAAATAGACATGCGTGATAAAGTAGAAATTACAGCAACGTGCCAGAAAATGTCACCACAATAGTTTTACACGTCTTCCTGCACCATCACCCATCACACCATCCTGCTAACCGCTTTACAGTATCAAGAGTCCTCTTGTTTGTTTTTCAGTCCAAAACATAACATTTGAGTATCACCACTCACAATACTCTTGGACATGTTACCATCTGAAATCCATCCACAAAGAATGAAATCCATCTATAAATATCCCTAAAGCAGGGCACATGTTTCTAAAGCTCAACATAATTTTTAATGGTAGTTAAGAAGTAATAAATTAAAACTGATACTGACTGATGAAGACCTCTCAAGTCTCTCTCTCTACCTCAAATGGACCTGAGGTAGTAGACTTCAGAGTCTCCAAATCTTCTGAAAATTCTTTGCATACCATGAAGGAATGAAAATTACTTTGCTTAAAATTATCCAGTTAACACCCAGCAAGTATTTAGTCAGTTGCACTCTGAAGAGTTTGGTGGGAATTCCCTAGGACCATGGCTAACACCTTAGATACAAGCACTATCACTGTTCTCATTATTAATAGTAGCTCTTCTCCACTTCCTCTAAGACTTAAGACTAGGAGTTTCATATTCGGAGTTTCTCAGATCATAGTTTTAATGCTATAATCCACTGATCTTTACATTGCTCAGAGTTGAACCTAACACTGACTAGCACTCCTAATGTGTCATAATGATGATTCTTCTTTCCTGGCAGAAGTCTAAGCAGCCTTAAGTGTGCATATGCCAGAGCAAAGCAGTTTGGAGAATTTGGTTGTCAGATTCTTCCCCAGCTTTTTCACTGCTTTAAGAACCTGGTTTGTGAGAGTTGGCCTTTTATATTTCTAAAGCCTATTTTATTTTTAAAAATCTATTTATAAGTTAGTGGCAAATACAATCTGCTACACATTTTAAAATCTTCACCGTTAACCATGCTTTCCAAAAAGTAACCTGCATTTCCTGTATTCTAACCTGTATCAGCTTGAATATTTACTCTAATATATCATCACTACATAAAACTATGATTGGTATAAAAAGTTGGTTTTCCTTTAGCAATACGAAGTGTTATATCAATCTTTTTTTTGAATGCTGAGGTGGATTTCTTGTCTGGTTCCGCAAAATCAATGAAACAGAACTACAGAGTGCACTGGAACTGTTCATCCTATTTTAACTATCTATCTAATTTTGTGAAGTTTGCTGAGTCAAATTAATTTATGCATGTGCTAACAAAACTAAATATATATATATTTCTAATGTTATTTACACATAATAAGCAAAGACTGAATATGTATACCTTAAGTTTAAAATAGCTGTCTTAAATTCAATGAAGACTAAAGAAACACCATATACACTTTCCTAAGACTGTTAATTAAGTAACTCATAGGGTGTACTTTTCAGCTACTAGTACATATGAGTGAAAGGCATTCTTGAAACTCATACTTCTTTTTAACTCTTCTGGCACTGCTGGTTTATAACATATGGATCCAAGGATGCTTCTAGCTGGAAATACAGTTCACTTTTCATTAGGTAACATAAAGGAACAGCTGGCCTTCACTTTATAGCACTCTAGAACACACTCCATCAACTCTGTCATCTACTATTTACTCAATACTCACACAGTCAACCTTACTCTGCAAACATACTTCAGTGTTGGTAGATAATTCAGTCTGAAAGTTTAACGCAACAGCTGAGGCTGGTGAAGATAAGAGAAGACATAAGAAAAATAATTTAAATAGACTCCACATTTACTTTGTGATACTTGCCACAAGAGTATTACTGGAATGGAACTGCAAAGAGATTATACGGACACTTATTCACAACTTTAAAGCTCCAAATCATCATAGGACCACTTTTCATTTATTCCATGAATTTTAAACATACTAAAAGTTGATCATGTCACTTAGCTTCTGCCCACATCAGCACAGCTGTCACTGTTTCTCTGGCCACCAGAAATTTCTAACTTCACAGTAATAATAGGTGAAATATGACAATGTCTAGAAGGCATACAAAGATTTAAAGTAAAAAAAAAAGCATACACACCTGACATAAATACTGCATGATGTTTTTCCTAAGATTTTTGGTTTTTTAAACATGAATGAAGGCTAGATAAGAACAGCATGGTGCAGTATACTGTACTTGCAATAAAACCTAAATGGTAATCTATTGGTTAAATTATGTGTATTTTATGCTTTCAATAGCAGGAGTCAACCAACCCAAGAAATCCAAATTTAATAGAGAAGCCTGATCTAGCCTTCTAAAGCCAGATTTCAGATGCCAAGCTAGAACACCACCACCAAAAAGACTTCTGCATAGAAGTCATGGAGTTTAAATTCAGATTTTATCACAGAGATTATGTAGTAAGATCAACATACAGCAAGATATTTATACATCACTGTAGTTTGAACAAAGTTGTTAAAAAAAATCCAAGTCATCTTACATGTCTTTATTTCCTTTAAAGAAACTGAAGCTTTGACAAAGTGAACCATCTTAGTCATGCTACTTACCTTGTTTAGAAGGCAGATGACGCACAGGCCGAGCGGGCTGAAGGGATTTACCAACAAACTTTTTACTTTCCCTTAACATTTTGAAGCATCACACTTCAAAAAAAGCAGAAGAAATCAATATAGAGGATTCAGTTTCACATACATATATTAAGTGAGGAGCAGTCTATCTACCACTCATTAGTTGCATTTGACAAGAAAATATACTATATTTCAGTATCTGGGCAGGAAGAAGAAGAAAAACCGAAGTTTTCTTAGATGACAGTATGCCGGATGAAATTTGTATAAAGACAGAATCAGACATGTCTCCGATTTTTCCTTTCCATTGAGCTACCCTAGCTTCTTCTCAAGAAGATTTTTTTCTGCATGTCTGTCTGTACGCTTGGAGAAAGGAGATGGGGACACATGATGGAAATGAAGGTATTTTGTAACAGTCAATTTAATTCAATGGGGTTTTTATTAATTAACTTCAGTGTACTTTACAGTCTACTGGCTGCACAGAAGTTCCTTATATCTCTCTCTCTCTCTACATAAACTTGCACTTTTTTTTAATATCTATTTTAATTAAATAAATATAGTTTTGCATCTTGCCACTCAGATCAGTTGCTACAGAAGCACCAAAAACTGCTAAGGTGGTGCTGGGCTTACAAATCTCCCACTGTAAGTAAATGATCAGTTGTATTATCTGTAATATCTTATAATATCTGTATCTCAACTTTTCTCCTTCCCACTCCAATCTCCTTTGTCAACTGGATGATTTCATGATTTGAAGGAATTTCAATTTCTTTTAGAGAAAAAGAACAGCAGAAACAACAAAGACCACAATGGTACTGAAATTCTGTTTAAAAAACTTTACAAGACAAGAGAAGAATTTTTATAACAAAAAAGATTCAAAGGTAACTATAATGACCTCAAAAGTTAAAACGAGGAAGATTATTATCCAATTCCAGTATGGAACAGGAAAAGAGACGCTAGGTCATTTAAGACATGATCCAGGATAACTCCTCACTTGAAGTGGTCTTTGTATGACAGGAAAAAAATGAAATCGTGACGATTTACTACATTATAATCTTTTGAATCTGAACACTTAACTTTCACTATATTCAAGTAACAATTTTCCAACATAGCCAGTCTGAACCCATTCAGGTCTAGAAATCAACTGTTAAATGGTTACTGTCTGAATTAGTACAGTTGAGCGAAAGCTAACTAAGCAAACTAAGCCAAAGTTTGATTCCCTGGTTTTCCCATCTTCTTATCTTAAAAAAAAAAAAAAAGAAAATTCCTGACATGGAAGATATATTTCATTTTGTCCAGATTAGGAATGCTTGTCTATTTTATTATATGCTTGTATATTTACACAAGATACTAAATTTCCACATAAGGCAATGCAGTAATAACATTTGCATTGCAAGATTAAAATGATAGGCAAATTTTCCTCCATACCCTGATTGCAAATAATATGCACACTTTCTAAAAACAGGGAAAGCTGCTGAAGAGGCTGGCTAGCTTCTAGAATGCAGCATATCTATATTTTTTAAAGCATTCTCATGACAATGAAAACAAGATGACTTGTGATGATGGCAAAAAAACCCATGTTTTGCCCCTCTGCCCCTCCAAATTTCTATGAGGAGGATGTCTAAGAAACCACATGCTTCTCCAAAGCAAGCAAAACAGAAGAGAATATGAGAGGAAGGAGTTTGGGCAGGGGTGAAGTCAAGTGCAATGTTACAATAGCTCCATTTCCTCCTTTAAGCAGAAGGAAGAGTCTAGAAAAGGTCTCAAAATGTTTTCTAGCCCAACATTCTGGATTAATAGCGTTCTGACTACTATCAAAAAAGGAGACAGAGATTAGTTTTAATAGCTGAGAAATAAAATTCCATAAGAACCTGTTGCCCCAAAGGTACCTCCTGCACTCCGAGGCTTCCCTCTTACAAAGACCGTATCACGCCTCAGGAGTTGCTCCAGTTGGTGACCTGCTCACCAGAAAGGAAGCCCTCTGCAGTAGCCAACAGGCCTAGCAGGATTTCTGTATGACTTTTTGAGCATCTTAACAAGTTGGACATTCCAGGAGACAGCTTACAACGGTCTGAACCAGTGGAAGAGAATTAACACGATTTTTGAGGAAAAAATCCCCTGAGACGAGCAGGCCCACGAGTAACCAGCAACTGACCATCTCCCTTTGCCCAAAG